GAAATTGATCCCATTTACCAGCCACTAAGAGCGAGAGAACTCCAGAACCACCGAACTTAAAGCTGCAAAATCAACCAGACGAGGAAATCATAAGAGAAGGAGGAAAACATCATTCAAACGGACACATCAATTGGATTGGAGGAAGCGCCCAATCAAAGCACCAAATCAACCGACGGACGAAGGGACGCTGACCGCTGCGGTGGAGGAAATAGGGCGGCACAAGCAACCAATCAAACTCAAGAACGTCAGACCACAACGCAATACAACCCGAGGCCGGAGAGAACGAACTACTAAAAATAGAAGGTGTGAGGATAACCAATCGACACAAAGGAACGCAGACCACAACGCAACAAAGATCAAAAATGGACCAATAGATTCACTAAATTTGTTACACTTTAAGTAGCCAATCACGTCAGAAGAAAACAGATAGCCCCCGAATGCTATATAAGCGCACGTAGGCAAGGAAGAAGTACCCACTCAACTGCGCACTGATGATGTCTCCTCGTATGGTGACGAAACGTTTGCAAGCCAATTGCCAAGCTCGGCGAACAGATCAACAGCCACCTGATCAACAACCAACAGTGAGGAAAACTTTCGGCAGCTCCCAAAGTATGGGTTTATTTACGGACCAAATATGAGCTTTGGTGAACGAACCGAAACATAGGTTGAAATGCCTGTAGAATCTAGTTCATTAATTATGTGCGCAATGTCATTCTGATTCATCGATTGCCAGAACAAATAAACATCTCCCACCGTGAGGAAAGTCTAATGTACAGTTAATGAAGACTAAGTTGGTCGAAACACAAGACCACGAAACCTGTGTGGGCGCGTGAACCGAGACAAATTCCACAGTCAAATCATCATGGCCAGCAGAGACAGCAACATCAGTGTTGACACTGATACTTCACTGTCACGGTTGTAGGTGGATTGGAATACTGCCAGGGCGCCCAGACCTAGTCAGCAGGACGGTTAGAGTCTTACACCAGAGCCTTTGGTTCAAAAGCCTGGCAGTAAGGCAGCTGTATTCGGTGTGCAATGCAAGCGTATTTCAATTTTTAAAGAGTAAGTCGCTACACATGTTCCAATCCCCAACCTGGAGGGCCAGGAGACTGTGTTCATCAGAACTCTAACCATTGGTCAACCTTGTATGAGAGACCCTGCGAGTGTCGCGCGGACACCACCCAGTATGGCTCAATGGGTAGCAGAGGTACATAAACCGTCACACCACGGCAAGGTCGTCTCTTCGCGACCACGGTCCAATAACCAGCCCGGCTGTTCCTCAGCACCGACTATTCTAGCATGACCATTGACGAGGGACGGAGCTCAATAAACGGTTTCTTTGAGTTATCAACATCTGCACATTGATCGAATATAATGTATTTTGCGAAGTCACATTGATGAGTACTCTATGCCAATATGCCACCAGCCAATCCCTTAGTATCCTGACAGGAGAGCTCTATTGGTAAAAAGGTGGGTTGCATGTCCAATTTCACACTGAAAGTAATTTCGGCAGCAATGCAATGAAAGCAAACTCGGTAATAAAAGAGCTCGTCGTAAGGAAAAGGGCACTATACCAAACAACAATCTAAGAAGAAACAGTGTACGGACATAGAAGCTTAAGGGAGAAAAGAGCAGCTGAAAACCAACAACAATCCTAGTGAATGCAGTAACATCAATGAGCGACGGCTAACTGAAACGAAGCGATAAGTGTCTCACTTGGGTTGATTTTGCAGGTATTCACCCCCAAAGGTTGAAAATAGCCCAGTTTGCTTTGCAGGCGCTGCAATGGAAGTAAATAATATGCGTGAAGCAACATTTGCTTCGTCCCATTGATGTAGATTAAGTGCGACGGACCCGACAACTCGATCGTGTGAATGTTAGCACTCATGCCGCACACGCAGATGGCCTGGGCTAACTCATCACTGAAGGGTGTTTTACATTTATCCATCCGCACCATCTACAGTAGTGTTTCTCAAAGTTAGGCTAATGCAGTTCTGGATACAACACCTAGACAGCAGTGATGGATAATCCATGGTCGGTTTAGAATCACGAGTCTTCCGTTCACCAGCTTTTGCCCTTGACCACCCAGCTAACTCGAACTTGATTCTTCTTGTCACAGTATTAATGGAATTCAAATCTCAGTATAACCAAGGATGCGCGTTGCTAGCAGGTCCAAGAAAAATACGAGTGACATCAACTTGTCCGTGAGTACCTCCAGCCATTGATGGAGGTGGACCACAAATGTTTCAACGTCGCAGATGATAGGAACGATAACACCGAAAACCCACTGATATACATTTGATGCTTAATTTCCAGATCGCCTGGTGTCATTGGAGGCAACACCGGTGTGAGATATCCCAGACTCCAATACATATTTATTCAGGCTCACTGAAACAAAGCCATGTAATGAAAAAATGACTAGGGGAAAGAGCCCTATGCTAAGCCAATACAAGCAGCTGAGCGGCCTAACCTTCCAGCCATGTTTTGCTATTATGTGAAAACGTGGCTTACGGAGAAAGACGAAACGCACTGTCAAAGAGTTCCCGGGAGTACGAACACCGATGTGAAAGACTGGAAATCCGGGGATTACAACGAGAAAAAATCTTTCAAATGTAGCAACCTGCTATGCCACCAGAAGGGAGCACGATGGCTAGGACACTGCCGAGTTTCTCAGGCGTAAACAAGGGAAGTCGAGAGGTACAGGTCGGATTCGAACCACGGGCGTTCCGGTCAGTAAATTCGCGCCCTAAATACCGAGCTATCTCACCCCCTACAACAAGAGGAGTGCTGAGTGGTACAGAGTTATTAAGTTTGGTGGAAAGCGCAAGAAAAATAAACTAATGAATGAGATGATTTGGCGGAGATGGGCTGGAAAGCGGAAGCCACTGGTTCAATTGGAGGCTCATTGGTGAGAGTGGCAGAGGACGTCTAGCGAAGAAAGTAAAGCTGGAGATCTGAGAGCTTGCTGGATGACACAACAAACGGAAATAGATTGTCGACAAACAGCAGAAATAAGATATAGGACTCCGTCACGAAGAGATTGAACCCTAGCGGAGTGTGGAGGCTTGTGTGTTACGGTGCCCTACTGAGTTATACTGAGGGGTGTCCGTGAGACAGTTGCAGAGTCTCTGATGCCAAATTGGTCAATGGTTGGAAGTTTGACCAACGTACAATCCGGGTCCTCCATGTTTGAGGGTTGGAATATACGCGGCGATCAATCCTTTAAAAGATGTAATGCACTGGTGTCTCTCGCCAAATATTCTCTGCCTTGCGGTCAAACGTTTAGCCTAAGGCTTTGTCTGAGGACAGCATCACGGCTGAAAACGCAGGCTGTTGTCCAAACAGGCAAAGTGATGTAGTATAACTGGGAAGTTCGGAATGAATGAACGCAGTATCGTTGGGAATTCGAGCCTCTTCAGAGACAACTCGATGGACAAAGGGTGTCGGACCGTGCTAACGAAAGTTCCAGGAAGTACTGCATAAGCTCGTTAGAACAGATAGACTATTAGGGGTGCACGGTTTCCTGAAGGTCAACAACACACCCAATAGGATGATTCGGTGAACTACATGAGGCTCCTATCCATTCGGAAATAAACTGACCGTCAGAATGCTTATGTAAGCAGCTGGCGTCACCACCATCATCGACAGCATAACTTCGATGCTCAGCGTTGGTGGTTCGCTGTCGGGAAGTTAGAAGCCGGGATGTAACGCCGGGAGGGCGACGTAAACTCCGTCTTGGAAGTTGGACAATGTCAGCAACTCACAGACTGCTCGCAACCCACTTGCGTTCTGCTGGGTCACAACTGATCCACCTCGCAGTTAAGGGCACCGTAATTGAGGCATGTAAACGACGTTGTTCTCAACACACGGTAAGTCGGGGAGCGTAGCGCATCGTTGGGTCACCTTAGCATGCAATAGTGGATACACCGTACAAGCAATTAACTGCTGCCTGAGCAAACGCTTGTTTTCTGATCACCTTACTGTGGGTCAATCCAGCTGTGGCTCTA